ACTGAAGATTGCGGGCTTGCTGTTTTACAGCACCAGAGCTGTGTTACCGTGTCTGACGTAAACCAGTGTCTGTAGACTGTAATTAAAGGATAAGTTCACCTTTTGCACAAAAATTATAAATGCACATTTTTATGCAGGTAAAAAAAAGTGCATTTATTATTTTTGTCTGCAGGAGCCTGTAAAGCATTGCATCAGCAATCCATAGATTGCTGGTGCCATGCAGGTCTCCTGCAGATCTGTCAGTATACAGTATATCTGCTTGCCGTACCAGATGTACGAGCAAGCAGATATACTGACAGGAAGATTCAGTGAACTACCATGGCGCTCCACAGCACCGTGATAGTTCATTGAAAACTACAAGCTAAGGCTGTCAGGACTTGCCGTTCATTAATTAACGGAACTCTTGTGAATGAATGATGCAGCTGTGTGGGCAGGGCCCCGCAAGGCCGTGCTGTTTTCTAATTTGACAGATAATACAGGGGAACGTCTCCCTGTACTTCTGACACAATGGGTGGGGGAGAGGGCAGCAGGCGGCGGCTACAGCATTGGGAACATGTTACATGTTCCATCCTAAAAACAGGTGGAACATGTAACATATTCCCAAAGGCGAACTTTATCCTTCAAAGCAGAGTTCCAGTCACATTGTAAAAAAATAAGTCAACAACTACAAAAATTGTAGCTCCTGACTTTTAAAAAAACAGCCACTCACCTGTCTCTCAATTTCGCAGTGTCCTCCCCCGCAGACTGTTTAACCAGGCGTCCGGTGTTCCTGCACAGTAGAGAAATACAAAGCAGCATGTTTTCCCTAGTAAAACACACACACAGCACACATTGTTAACCATCACACAGTTAATCCTTTGATCGCACCAGATGTTAACCCCTTCCTGCCCAGTGTCATTAGTACAGTGTCATGCTTTTTATTAGCACTGATCACTGTATTAGTGTCATTGGGATGTCAGTGGCAGTTAATCAGTTCCCCTCCAGTGTCAGAATGCCCACCACAGTCCCGCTAGAAGTCGCTGATCGTCGCAATTACTAGTGTAATAAAAATAAAAATTCCAGTATATATACCATCAATTTGTAGACGCTATAACTTTCACGCAAACCAATTCATTTACATGCATTGGGATTTTTTTTTTTGCAAAGACATTTTGGCCTAAATTTATGAAGAAATTTTTGATTTTTTTTAATTTTTTTTACTGCATATGTTTTATAGCAAAAAGTCAAAAATATTGGGGTTTTTTTTTTTCAAAATTGTTGGTCTTTTTTCGTTTATAGCGCAAAAAAATAAAAAACCGTAGAGGTTATCAAATACCACTGAAAGAAAGCTCAAATTGTGCGGGAAAAAAAGGACATAAATTTCATTTATGTACAGCGTTGTTTGACCACGCATTTGTCAGTTCAAGTAACGCAGCGCCGTAACGCAAAAAAATGGCCTGGTCAGGAGGGGGTAAATCCTCTGGAGGGCAAGTGGTTAAAGGCAAATTTTAAATAAAGGTAATATCTGATCTGTGCATTAATAGTGAAAAGAAAGATCACTTTCTTCCTCTTCTCGCTGTCCCTTGCTAGGTTGTAGGCTTCTCCTCCTCCTTTGGGTGCCTTATGTAACAAGCCAGGTGCTAAGGGAGGCATCCATGGGCCTCAAGCTAGGATGTGCACATCCATAGACACACAGCATGGCTAAACCATGTCTGTGTCTCCTCACAGGAGTTTGACAGTAGCAGGAGCCTATAGCTCCACTGTCCTCTGCTTCTCCCGTGAAACCATGAAGTGAGGGGAGTGATGGTGGAGCCAGAGACACCGCTGCAGAGGTGACACGGAGCCAGGTAAATGTTTAGAGATGCGGGGCAGGATAGGTAGTGTGGCATTTTTTTTATCTTAATGCAGAGAATGCATTAAAGTAGAAAAAACATTTAGAATTTAATACTACTTTTAACTTGCTTCGTACTATCCTCCGGTACTTGCTCCTTATCCCTGAGTTTGCAGACTCTGGATTTTGGACTATGCTGGTTTATGGATAGGAAGAGAATTCTCCCCTCTCCTTTTACTTCATGTTGAAACTATTTCTATCTGGATGTATGAGTCAGTCTTTACATTAAAGTGGTTGTAAACATATAACATATAACCAGTGAAGTGACTAGCCTCAGATGATACACAGAGATAAAACAAATCCTCCTACATAAGTTGTACCTGTTTATCTTTAGTCTTCATCTCTCTACAGCTGTTCAGAGTGCAGAATTTATATAGCTTGTTTGAGCTTTCAGAAAGTGGGGAGTGGAAATTACACTCCACAGAGCTGAGAGCTGACTGGAGGAAAGGGACACACCCCCTTCACACAGCTTATAGGAACAGAGCTGAGTCTGTCAAGCACAGGCTGTGTGCTGGAGATTCCTCCCCTGTCACCTTTTACTTCTTGGTGTCAGGAAAACTTGTCAAATGGCTCCTGCAGATAGCAGAGGAACAAGGCAACAGACAAAAATGACACTTAGTGCTGTATATTGAGACAAGTACTGTAAACATTATAGAGAGATATGCTTTGTTTATATTTCATGTCTGAGGTTTACAACCAGTTTATCTCTCCTTGTACTTTATTTGCATATGCACAACCGTTCTTTTAAGAAGCATCTTAATATTCAGGTTTCCCATCTGTTTCCTTACACCAGATGGCATTAGTGATTTTGTAGTATGTACACTATGCTGTGCAGGACTTTTGTCTCCGGGTCCCTGCACCAGAACTTCCCTCCTTATACTGAGAGGGTTTTGTTCTCTACTGCAACTATTTTATTCCTTTCAGGGAAATATCCATTTTGTTCTGTACTTCCCTGGAAGATCAACAGACACAGCCCTATCTTACTGAAATAGAGTTCCCCTAGCTGGTAACCTGCTTATCTAGAGGTTCTATTTCATTATGAACTGTTGTGACTTGTCATACCTCAGTGCCTGCTATTCTCCACCCCTTCCTTTAAAAGGTGACTTTGTACTTAACACCCTCTTTGGGGAGAATCATGTCTCCCTTACTCTCTCCCTATTATTCCTCTTGAGAGGGTTATTTCGTTTTGAATTGCCATTTCCCTGCATTCAGGGGTTAAGAGCACGCAACACTTAGCTGTTTGCTGGTTGATCCTTGTTTAAAACATATTTGTTTGTCCAACCCTGAAGGTCAGTGATTTCACCTCCTAGGCTTTGGCCTTTATCTTACAAACATTCTTGTTTTTTTTGTTGACTACTTTTTGTTCTTGGTCTAAGTTTTCTCTCATCTGTTGTCTCCTTATGATGATTGCTGGGTTCTCCTACACTTTTTGTTGATGCCCATTGTCCTTTCAATTAAGTCTCTCCCTAGTGCTGCTACATAAACGTTTTTGGAACACCAGATTAATTTTTGATGCCTTTCCTTATAGTAGCACTTTCCATATTGATTCTCCATGTTTTCACTGGCCCATCAGCCGATCATTCCTTCTGATACTCCTCTAGTAAGATTTTATTATCCATTGGATTTCTCAGTGGCCCACTCCTTGGTTGCTTTGTTTTTGCACTTGCCACATGTGTATAATTTACTATATTCCTGTTCTCCCCACCACTCCCCCCCCCAGTGGACGATAAAGAATATATGATTTTTGTACTTCATGTCAAAATGTTTTTTGGAGTCCTTTGATGGACACAGGTCCCATGCCTATGTGTCTGGTTCTCTGACCTGCTTGCTCACAAAACTAAGGCTTGACTGTTAGAGACAGGTTTATGGTGAACGAGCCTTAAACAGTTTCTTTTGTTTGCCTCTGTACTCCTTCTAAAGGCAGTTGCATATAGCCCACATGTCTATGATTTACTATATCCCTGTGTCTCTGGATGGCCTCCATTATGGTAAGTGCAAAAATTGTACTTCGTTTTTAATATTGTGGTTTGTGTACCTGGCTCTTTGAGGCATAAATGGTTAGGAGTATCAGCATTAGTTTATTTCCCACAGCCACAAACCAGAGGTAAACCTGCCCTGAAAGCTTCAGTCTTATTGGCAGCTGTGGATACTGTCTTTAATGCTTATTATTGACACTTTAAGGCAGCATGCCTTTTTTTTTTTCCCTTCTTAAGAAGTTTTTTGTCATTTTCTTTATTCTCTTTTTGCGGCTATGTCATGTTGCCAGTTTAGGCCCTTTTCAGACGGGTTTGATCTGTCAGTGTGATCCTCCTGCTCAGCGGGGGATCTCTCTGCTGATACCTGCTGAGCAGGCAGATGACGGTGTTCTGTACACTCTGCTGCTGCAGAACGGACACAGACACTCCCTGCTGATTTCAATGGGATATTTGGATGGAAACAGACCGCCTGTCCGTTTACACCTGATTGTCATTTGATCCGCTGGATGGATGAGGAACGGATCCCCATCCGTCTATTTTTGGTGTACAGGATCGGGTACCGGTGGTTGTCAGCTGACTACTGGCACCCGCCAGTCCATAAACGTCTATGGATGAACTGACCAGACGGGGACCCCATCGGTCCGCTCGTGTGAAAGGGGCCTTATACAGATAATGGTTAGTGGAGTTCTTGTTTTGAATGTTACTGCATTCACCATGTTAGTGTGTCAACTGCTTTGCCATGCTAGTATGTCAAATACAAACATGTCATAACTTAAAATGATGTACCTTTTTTAGAAGTGCTGGTTAGAGCATTCTGTTTAAAGAAAATACAGGTTGCATGGCCTGCAGATTTCACTATGGTAGCATCATGCATCACATCTAATTAGAATGCTTTTCAGGTTTTATCTCAGTTGGCTTCTTTTCTCTCATTTCGTTCCTATTCTGATCATCCCCCATTGCTGTGGTAGTGAGATTTTCTTTTACACATATAGTTTTCACTATGAGTACTTTTACTGTCTTGTATGAGTATTTTACTATAGACCCATAATATAAGGCTATTTATTCCAAACTATAAATTGGTAGCAGTGTTTGATGTACACTGGGTATTCCACTTGGGATTGAGTTTGATCTTTCTCATTGTGTTTCTTTTAAAGCTTCACATTGCAGAACACGCTGCAGGTCACCTAGTGCTGAAATGGTTGTTAAAGCAAGACAAAGACTTAAAAGAACGTGGTAAAGAAGGTAAGATGACGCGGAACGTTTCCGTGTGTTATATTGAATATATAAAGAGAGCAAAAGAAGTGAATTACACCTATAGCCCTTACAGTTGAAGCACACTGTCTATTTTCCAATCTATTTTAGTTTTTAATGGGTAATTTATAATGGAGAATTGTAATAGGATTTGGTCAATTTTATTTGCCATGTTCTAAATGTTTTCATTTGTATATCTGCTTTTATTACATTGTTTAACAAATAGACATTTTATACAGATTTCTTCCATGGTATAGTATTTGTAGCGCATACTGGGTCTTCTAGGTAGAAAGCTGAACGATTTTGGCTCCTTTCCTGTCTTAACCTGATTGAAACTTTATAGTAAACCCCAACTGCACAGAAAGAGACAGGGGCTCATTCTGTTGTGTATTCTTAAGAGCAGATCAAATTACAGCCCTAGTTTTCATCCTAAAGGTAAAATGCATTAGCAAGGGTGGTAAATTGATTCCTTCTGGCTGCAGTGATAGCCCTTTCTTTCTCTCTCTCTCCCCCCCCCGCCCCGCCCTTACCTTACCCCTAAACCGCCTCCCCCCCCCCCCTCGCCATTCCCCCCCGCCCTCGCCCTTTCCCCCCCCCCCCTCGCCCTTCCCCCCCCCTCGCCCTTTCCCCCCCCCCTCGCCCTTTCCCCCCCTCCCTCGCCCTTTCCCCCCCTCCCTCGCCCTTCCCCCCCCCCCTCGCCCTTCCCCCCCCCCTCGCCCTCCCCCACCTCTCTCTCTCTCTCTTGCCCTTTCCCCCCCCTCACTCTTTTTTCTTTCTCTCAATATCTGCCCTCCCCCTCTCTCCCTCTACACCCCTCCCTCTTCCCCCCACGCCCTCCTTCCTCTCTCTCCCCCACCTCCTCCCTCTCTACACCCCTCCCTCCTCCCTCTCTACAAGCTTACAGAACCCCTCCCTCCTCCCTCTCTCTCCCCTCCTCCCTCTCTACTAAACCCCTCCCTCTCCCCCCCCCCCTCCCCCCTCCCTCCTCCCTCCCCCCCTCCCCCCCCTCCTCCCTCCTCCCCCCCTCCTCCCTCCCTCTCCCCCCCTCCCTCCCTCTCCCCCCCTCCCTCCTCCCTCTCTCCCCCCTCCCTCCTCCCTCTCTCCCCCCCCCCTCCTCTCCCCCTCCCCCTCCCTCCTCCTTTCCCCCCCCTCCCCCCTCCCTCCTCCCCCCTCTCCTCCTCCCTATCCCCTCTCTCCCCCCCTCCCCTCCCTCTCTCCCCCCCCTCCCTCCCTCTCTCTCTCTCCCCCTCCTCTCTCTCTCTCTCCCCCTCCTCTCTCTCTCTCTCCCTCTCCCCCCTCCTCCCCCTCCCTCCTCCCCCCTCCCTCCCTCCTCCCTCCCTACCCCTCCCTCCCCCTCCCCCTCCCTCCCTCTCTCCCCCTCTCCCCCTCCTCCCTCTCTCTCCCCCTCCTCCCTCTCTCTCCCTCTCTCTCTCCCCTCCCTCCCTCTCTCTCTCCCCCTCTCTCTCCTCTCCCTCCCCCTCTCTCTCCCCTCTCTCCTCCCCTCCCCCCTCTCTCCCCTCCTCCCTCTCTCCCCCCTCCTTTTCCCTAGGAGGCTAGAGGAAAGGTGGAGTTGAATTAGTTATCACTTAATCCACATAAAGAAAGGATAGAAAGCAAGATTTGTGTAAGAATATTTCTATGTTTGCTTTTCTTTTAATGGTTAACACCTAACTTTGCAATTCTTTCAAAGTCAGATTTGCAATGATAGTGCATGTCGTAACTATAATATCAATGCATTTATCTGCTACTAGAAACACACACTGAACAGGTTGCAAATATGGAAGGGTCACTACTTGTTTTTTTATGTATAACTGCTTGTTTGGACAGAAAAGTCTTGTTATACCATAAGGGAAAGGAACCAGTAAGTCCAGTTTAATTTCCCACTGGCACTTTTAAGGAGACAGGTTTTTTTTTTTAAAAAATATGCTAAAAGTAACTATTGTGTGCGTTTTTTTTTCTTTCTTCTTTCATCTGGTTAAGCTTTTTAGTGTATGCTATAATGTTGTTTTGCCTCAGCCTGCCCACTGTAGTCCTCGTGTGTTATTCACACCCCAATATTGTGCTGGAGATTTAGTATTTATATATTTATTTTGGCCTTAACAAGATTGGTTGCTTGTTCTGCAGACAGTAACTAATATTATATTTGAACCCTTCTATTTTATGTTTTATATCAGAGGATCTGTAAGTGAAGAAATATACAAGTACTGATCTGATTTTCCCTCCTCCACAGGTTGCTTTGCTAGAACATTAGTAGATTGTGTGGGCCTCAAGAAACTGAGTAGTTGGGCACAAGTAAATAGAGGGGCCATAGTACTTTGCTGGTAAGAAAAACAATTGTTTACAAAATCTTATACATTTTTATACTTTTTTATTCTTACATCTGAGGATATGCATAAACTGGCTATACGCTATACATTAGGGTTGTGCTGTCCCCTTTAGATTTACCAAAACCACAAACTATAGAGCCTACCTTAACAGTCCATATACACCTGGACCACTACAGTGCATTAAACCCATTTGTGGTCTGCCCAGCACACCACAATGAACCAAAAATTAATCAGGCTTCATTTTCTGCAGCACCTGTCAGTGCATTTCCACTCATTGGGTGCCGATGATGTGGTGTGAAAATACCCTAACAGTCCATGGAATTTCTATCTATTAGGGTAGGTCCTTGTACTTAGATGGTTGTTGGTAGATACAAAAGAAACTGTAACCTGTTTGGCCAGATTTAGAAACCATATTGACTATTAGAAAAAAGGTGTGCGTCTCTATGGCAAAATATATACAGGAATAAAATCATAGACAAAGACTGCATATTATTAATCTGAGTGAAAGTTAGCAGATCTTTTTTTAATAATGTGGTTATCACTGTGTGTAAAGACATTATCATACCTAAATATGCTTATGCACCTGTACGTTTGGTTATTGCATCACTTCCCTAGTATTAAAGGAACACCCCTGAGAAAAAGTTCTGGGACTTTTTAGGTGCTACAACTGATATGACACATACTGCATTGTATTATAAAACAAATTTGGTTCATATCTCTAATTGCTGCAAAATAACAGTTAATTGTCCACAGTAGCAATTTTCATGTACAATACTCCACCAATCAGAAGTTTCCACGTATATTAGTGTGTGTGTGTGTACATATATACAGTCATGGCCGAAATTGTTGGCACCCTTGATATTTTTCCTGAAAATCAAGTATTTCACACAAAAAAGGTATTGCATTAACACATGTTTTGCTATACACATGTTTATTCCCTTTGTATGTATTGGAACAAATATAAAAACAGAGGCAGAAAAGCAAATATGACATAATGTCACACAAAACCCCAAAAATGGGCTGGACAAAAGTATTGGCACCCTTAACTTAATATTTGGTTGCACACCCTTTGAAAACATAACTGAAATCAGTCGCTTCCTATAACCATCAATAAGCTTCTGACACCTCTCACCCGGAATTTTGGACCACTCTTCCTTTGCAAACAGCTCCAGGTCTCTCTTATTGGAAGGACACCTTTTCCCAACAGCAATTTTAAGATCTCTCCACAGGTGTTCAATGGGATTTAGATCTGGGCTCATTGCTGGCCACTTCAGAACTCTCCAGCGCTTCTTTGCCATCCATTTCTGAGTGCTTTTTGACGTATGTTTGGGGTCATTGTCCTGCTGGAAGACCCAGGATCTTGGACGCAAACCCAGCTTTCTGACACTGGGCCCTACAGTGCGACCCAAAATCCTTTGGTAATCCTCAGATTTCATGATGCCTTGCACACAGTCAAGGCACCCAGTGCCAGAGGCAGCAAAACAACCCCAAAACATCATTGAAACCTCCACCATATTTTACCGTAGGTACTGTGTTTTGTTCTTTGTAGGCCTCATTCCGTTTTCGGTAAACAGTTAGAATGATGTGCTTTACCGAAAAGCTCTATCTTGGTCTCATCTGTCCACAAGACGTTTTCCCAGAAGGCTTTTGGCTTACTCAAGTACATTTTGGCAAACTGTAGTCTTGCTTTTTTATGTCTCTGTGTCAGCAGTGGGGTCCTCCTGGGTCTCCTGCCATAGCGTTTCATTTCATTTAAATGTCGACGGATAGTTCGCGCTGACACTGATGCTCCCTGAGCCTGCAGGACAGCTTGCATGTCTTTGGAACATGTTTGGGGCTGCTTATCCACCATCCGGACTATTCTGCGTTGCAATCTTTCATCAATTTTCCTCATCCGTCCACGACCAGGGAGATTAGCTACAGTGCCATGGGTTGCAAACTTCTTGATAATGTTGCGCACTGTGGACAAAGGCAAATCTAGTTCTCTGGAGATGGACTTGTAACCTTGAGATTGTTGATATTTTGCCACAATTTTGGTTCTCAGGTCCTCAGACAGTTCTCGTCTCCTCTTTCTGTTGTCCATGCTTAGTGTGGCACAGACAGACACACAATGCAAAGGTTAAGTGAACGTCTCTCCTTTTTATCTGCTTTCAGGTGTGATTTCTATATTGCCCACACACCTGTTACTTGCCCCAGGTGAGTTTACAGGAGCATCACATGCTTGTAACATTCTTATTTATCCGCAGTTGTGAAAGGGTGCCAATACTTTTGTCCAGCCCATTTTTGGAGGTTTGTGTGACATTATGTCGAATTTGCTTTCTTTCCTCCCTTTTTTTGTTTTGTCCCAATACACACAAAGGGAATAAACATGTGTATAGCAAAACATGTGTTAATGCAATACGTTTTCGTGAGAAATACATGATTTCCTGGAGAAATATCAAGGGTGCCAACAATTTCGGCCATGACTGTATACATTTTATTTATTTTTTCAGACACATACAGGCAGCAAACAAACACAAATACACAAACATTTTTTTAATTTTACATGGCTTTATACTGCTGCAATTAAAGAGGGAAATTTAAGAGACCAGTTCCCAGAGTACTTGAATGCTATCAAAGCCCACAAATGGAATGTTTACGTGGATGTAGGTGATATAATAACGTGTCTTATGTGTTTTTGGGGTATTCTACAAGTAAAAATTCACAAGCAGAAAACCTCCAATAGGGACTGACAGCGTTGCTAAACATGGTATATAGTTTATAAGTATATAAATCTTATCTCCATTAAAGTGTACCAGCCGTAACATTAACAAAGACAAGCTTTCCATATGTACACTACTGTGCAAACTTTTTAGACCGGTGTGGAAAAAATGCTGTAAATTAAGGATGCTTTCAGAAATAGAAGAGTTAATAGTTTATTTTTGCCAAATAACAAAATGGAAAGTAAATGAACAAAGGATAAAGTCAAATCAATATTTGGTATGACCGCCCTTTGCCTTCAAAACAGTATACATTTTTCTAGGTACACTTACACACAGTTTTTGAAGGAACTCAGCAGGTAGGTTGTTCCAAACATCTTGTAGAACTAACCACAGATCTTCTGTGGATGTAGGCTGCCTCCAATCCTTCTGTCTCTTCATGTAATCTGAGACAAACTCCATGTTGAGATCAGGGCTCTGAAGGGGGCCAGACCATCACTTCCAGGACTCCTTGTTATTCTTTACGCTGAAGATAGTTCTTAATGACATTGGATGTATTTTTGGGGTTGTTGTCCTGCTGCAGAATAAATGTGGGACCGATCACATACTTCCCTGATGTTATGGCATGACGGATAATTATCTGCCCGTATTTGTCAGCATTGAGGACACCATTGATCCTGCCCAAAGCTCCATTTGCAGAAATGTAGCCCCAAAAATGCAAGGAATCAGATTTTGACTCATCAGTCTAGAGAACCTGCTGCTATTTTTCTGCACCCCAGTTCCTATGACTTAGCCTTGTTGTCGGAGGTATGGCTTTTTTGGACAAAATTCTTTCATGCAGACCACTTCTGGCCAGACTTCTCCAGACAGTAGGTGAGTGTACCTGGGTCCAACTGGTTTCTGCCAATTCTGTGCTGATGGCACTGCTGGTCATCTGGTGTTGAAGAGAAGTAAGGATGATGTGTATTTCACCTGCTGCTTTAATTTTCCTTGTCTGACCACAGCATTTGTGGTCCTCAATGTTGCCCATTTCTTTGTGCTTCTTCAAAAGAGCTTGAAACCTGATTTTGCTTTGAAATCTTTGCCTTGGAGAAACCTTGCTGATGCAGTATAACTATCTTCTGATGCAATATAACTATCTTCTGTCTTGTTGCTGTGTTCAGCCTTGCCATAGTGTATAACCAGTGACATGAAACTGTCCTCCACAACCTCACCTTGGTAGCGGAGTTTGGCTGTTCCTCTCCCAGTTTTAACCATCCTACATAGCTGTTCTGTTTCAGTTAATGACTGTGTTTCAACCTACATATGAAATTGATGATCATTAGCACCTGCTTGGTATAATTGGTTATTCATAACCCTGATTCTAATCTTCCAAAATGTTTTACTTTATGCAAGTAGTCACACAAAAAACTGATTTGATTTCGATTTTTCTTCTGTTCACTCACTTCGCATTTTTGTAAATTGACGATTAAAATACATTTCTTGAAACCGATACGGGTGCCAAAAAAAACCCGCCCCTTGGCCACTGCTGCCACCGGCCGCCGCTCAGTAGTTCTCAGCCTTACCTGAGAAACCATCAATTGATCCCGGCCCTGGGCATATAGATTAGTGAAGGAAAGATGGCCTCCACTCATTTCTATGCTCTTGGAGGACCAGAGTGGTGTCACTTCCTGTTTCAGCCCTTTTTTTTTTTTTTTTAAACCACCATATTAATGCTTTTTTTTTTATCTAGTGCTTTACATTGTAGAGGAGAGATGTGGAGTCTTATTGACCCCATATTGCTCCATAAAGAGGACCTGTCACTAATTATTTCTATCACAAGAGATGCATGCATTCCTTGTGATAGGAATAAAAGTGATTAAAATGTTTTTTAGAGGAGCAGTGAAAAAATAATTTTTTAAAAAAGTTTAAAGTGCCCCTGTCCCCTCGTGCTTTCACGTAGTGGTGACCGCATACATAGGCCATGCCCACATATGTAAACGGTGTGTAAATACCACAAACATGAGGTATCGCCACTAACATCAGAGCAAGAGCAATAATTCTCGCACTAGACCTCCTCTATAACGTTACACTGGTAACCTGTAGAGATTTTTAAAGCATCACCCACAGAGATTTTTAGCAGTTTGACGCCATTCCACGAGTGTGCGCAATTTTAAAGCGTGACATGTTGGGTCTATTTCTATCCATCCTCTTTCATATTTAAAAAAAAAATTGGGGGATATAATGTGTTTTTTTTTTTTTGTTTTTTTTCAAAAAGTGTATTTTTTTCCAAAAAATATATATTCATTTTTAAAA